TAATGTGTGTTTTCCATTCTAAATTCTTTTTATGACTACAGGGTTGAGAGTTTTGTGCCAATACAAACGATACACACTTAGATACATGATTGACTATAGTGTGATAATTTATTAACTTGCTAGGCCTAAAAGTTTGTATCTTCTCATTAATATAAATGTTTCTTGCTTTAAATTTTAAAATGCACACAAGGTTATTCATCTCATTTCTTTTGCAAAGCATTAGAAATTCGGGCATTGATATATTTATGTTTATATTGTTAGCATATATGTCATATTTGAGTGAGATTCCCTAAAATACTTCACTAACAAAATATTCTATGCACTCTCACAAAATGAAAATAGCAAAATTACAAGGATGAATGCTTGACATTACTTTTGGGGTAAATGACTCAACTATGAGACTTGAAGTCACCTGTTACGAGACTTCCAACATGCATCCAATGCCAAAATAGCTGTTTGAAACTTTGCCACATTATCAACTCCTACTGTAAATACTCCTCCAGCTTCTTTGACTCCTTATGGCTTAAGCCATTTTCCAGTGTGATTAAGCTAGAGGATGACAGCCAGGATTTAGAACCAATGAGAAAAGCCTCAATTGAAGCTGCTGTTAAGGTGGACACTTCAAATTCACAATTCAAAGCTGGTTTTTGCTGGTGAGCAGCCCTCTTGACAACCATGGGAAAGTCAAGGAGAGCTCTAGACATTCAGAAGGGAAATTCCAACTCCTTTCTTGAACTCCAATATGCTCCTTTTTTGAACTTTAAACAGTTTGTTGCTAGTGAGTAGGATTTTCTTCGTGGCAAGCATTCTTGCATCTCCAACTTTCAACACTTTGATCCAGTTTAGAAGCAAGTTCTATTACAAAAGTATAATCAGCTAGACAAGCTGCCACCACCCTGAGTGAAAGAATAATAGGTTTTCTACATAATTACCAAAGAAATATTTGACATTTGAAATTTTGAAAAAGTCCACGAGAAGAACCTGGAGCATTCGCGCTGCCGCGCCTGCGATCTTGCTGGCATTGTCAGTGCCGCAGTGACGTCGTCAATTCTAGCGTCAATCCATTGACAGCGCAGTATGAATCATGGCCGAGGATAGAGCAATCGCGAATGACGCCGAGCGCATCGAACAAACAGGCAACAACAGGAACCAATCGCTGTGGACCGAGGTTGACGACTGGGCGATGGTCACAAGTCCACCAACTGGGAAGTGAGCCGAGCAGTATATTCCCTGTATTAGCCATATAGTGGTACTCTGAATGCTTCCTGTCACCGCGCATTACAAGCATTCAAATATTTAAAACACTCATAGGCACTACGCGAAATTCCGGGTCTTTTTGGTCAATCGCAGGGACGCAATTCCACTCGCCAGCAGCGCCGCCGCTGCAATTTTGCCGCCATTTTCAGTGCCGAACTCGGCGACATTGATCCTGGCGTCGATCCATTTGTAGAGCGCGAGGTATGAATCATGGCCGAGGAGTGTGTAGAGCAATCGCGCCGGGGAGAGGATAGCCTGGTATGCTGCTGGGAGGTAAACAGTGAGGCCGAGCGCGTCAAACAGGGCATCCAGGAACCACTCGCTGTGGACCGAGGCAGCGACTCCATTGACGACGATAGTTCCTTGGAGAGTCAATGGATTATAGAGGCCGGGCTTTGTAACGATCGAGATTCGTGTGACTGGGAATGGAGTCATGATCGAATTGTTGGTGGGGGATGAAGCGGTCAACACATCTCCGACAAGAACGTCTTGCGCACGCTTGAATTCGACTCCACCTAGAAATGGTTCGTGAGCTTGGTGGAAAAAAAAGTGGTGGAAGGAAGAGATGACACACACCAGCTTTGAGCAGCGTTGGCACGAAATGCAGGCGCGAGAGCTCAAGGGTCTTTGAGTGAGATAGTTCCAGGTTGACGAAGTCACTCTTCTGCTCCAAGTCTCGGTGGCCGAAAGCATAGATTTCACTGAACTCGAGCCTCCCGTTCTTGAGCGTCCCAACCTTCACGACACGACCAGAGGAAAAAGGTTTAGTGGAAGCGATGGATGATCAGGATAAATACCTTGTCACCGATTTGGAGCTGGCTCATCATCTTTGTCTCGCCCGTGGAAGTTTGCACCGTTGCATCCCCAGGGAAGCACGCACTCACGCAGCCAGCAGCCGCGCCAAGCTGAGCACTCACTCCCAAAACTCCAACGACGCAGAAAGGTGCCAATGGTCCCAGTCCCAAGCAACCTCCAACTCCCAACACTCCGGTGATTGCACCTCCGATTGCTCCTGCAAAAAGGAAGGAACGAGCTCAACGAGAAGAACATATGGATCATCCCGAGGGACCTTTCCCTGCTTCTTCTTTGCAGTCACCAAGCAAGAATCTTCGAGCTGCTTGGTGATCGCCAGAAGAGTTTGTGAGTGAAAGATGCTGCTCGAGTTCCAAGCGCTTCTTGTAGAGCCTGTCCACGTCACTGCCGGTCATGTACACACCACAGCCGCTCTTCTTAGCGTTGTTTGGGCAAACGATCTGGTAAGCATTCAGTGATTTTTGTTATTGCAAGATGGTCTATGGAGCTCGCTAAAACTTACAGCACTCTTGCGGCCATAGTTGTCTGTGAACACGAACTGTGTCCCGGATGAATCTGGAGCAGCACCACAGCCACCGGTTGCGACCACCTGGAGATAGTTTCCAGTCGTGAGCATGAGAAAGATCAAAGAAACAAAGGTACTTGTGTCTTGTTCTTTACCTTTAGCTTGAGGTTCTCGGTTCCTCCCCAGTCGCCACTTACCTTAGCAGTGTACTGGAGCCTTCCAGTTTTGACAATCATCTGGCAGATCTTGGTGATTGCGCTCGCAGGAACCGAGCCCCAAAGCAATGCGGGAGTCTTCGATGCGAGAAGAGATGTCGCGATCTGATCGCCAGTAGTTCCAATGAAGGTGTTTGGCTTGCCTTTGGTGATCTTGGGAGTCGTGGCTTTGAAACTCACGTCTTGCGCATTGCAAACGCTGGAGATCACAGCAAGAACAAGAAGAAATGAGACACTTTTCATCCTTTCTCTCGTCTTTCTTTTTCTGTAGCTCTGAGCGCTTCTATGCTAGCTTGCAATCCTTATACATTCATTTCTTGTCGCACAGTAAACATAGTAACAAAACTTATAAAGAGAAGGATTTATTTAAGAATAAGGACCTTGACACTGTAGCTCTCACTTATCTGTAGGTCTTGTTCTTGTCGGTCTAAAGCTGAGGTATTGATGATCACTGCAAGAAACATTGAAGGTTTCATCACGGCCATAACGAACGGCCATCACGGCCATGGGCTTACTATTAATCCGTCAGTTTCGTACTTCTGGTACCCTGTAAATAGTTAATGAATGAATGAATGAGTCTACTCCTATCGCTGGAAAGAAAATGTTGAATAGTATATTCGAAATTTGAAACTTTGGAAAAGCTACTTCCTTTGGAGCAGCACTGCCGCGGCCGCGATCTTGCCGCGCCTAAGTGGGAGAGGTTGATTCTAGCGTCGATCCATTTGTAGAGTGCGAGGTATGAGTCGTGGCCAAGAGAGGATCTCCCAGGAGCGCGTCAAACAGGGCATCCAAATCGCTGTAGACGGACGATCACTGGATTGAAGTGAAGATTTTGGACGAAATGAAAGTGAGAGAGCTCGAGGCTGACGAAATGGCTTGTTTGATCCGAGTCTCGGTGCCCGAAAGCGTAAATATCACTAAAAATTAGCCTCAAAATACCCGCTCCTGTTGCTTCTAGGATCGAAGGCTTTTGCTCGAGGCTGTCGCAGGAAGAGGTAACATTTGAGATCAAGTCATGAGACCTTGATCCATTTCTTCTTGTTCTTTTTTCCCGGGAGAGTTTGTGAGTGACGTTCACGTCACTGCTGGTCAAGGTACACGCTACAGCCAGTTCGTCCAGCGTTCCTCGAACAGAGAGACGAGCATAAAACTTCTTCCGGACCATATTGCGCGAAGAAATTTCTCTCCTTTGCTTGACGAAGAGTTCATCTTCCACGTATTTTATGAATTCTTGAAGGCGATCACATGGTAAAGATCTGCAAAACTGTTCATCAGGTGTTTAAAAACGAAAGAATGCAATAAATATTAGAAGGATTCACCACTGGAACTCTGCCATTCATTGACCCTGCCCGTTTAGCGTCGAGGCATTGAACTGATTGATCCCGAGCTCGCAATTCGAAGGTAGAGAGTTTTAAAAGCGAGAAACAGTGATAAACTTCCGGTCGCTTGAAAGAGTTGTGGGAAAACCAAAATTTTTGGCCTATTGCACAGACAAAATCGGTATAGCTCTCCGGTCAGTTGATCGAGAGGAACAGGACCCTTTCTTTCTTTTCTTCTTTTCTTCTTTTCTAGTCGTCGTGCCAAAGCAGCTAGCTTGTTGGAGCTTGCGTTGACACGAGAGGAACAGGAAGAAACGCGCTAGTCGTGCACTTGTGATAAGTGACAGTAGCATCAACTTCGTTCGCCAAAGGCCGAGGAACCAAACGAATCACTTCCGCTTTGACATTGCTCAGAGGATCCGGCCGCGGCGGCGCATTCTTTAGCATGAACTTCGCCAGATACTCCAATGGCCTTTGCGGTCTGCTAGAAACACGATAACAATACCCATGAAAAATCTCGTTGTTACCTCTGTAGCGTCAAGGCCTCGAGCCCCTGCGCCAAAACAGGTACCACATTGTTTTCCTGCCAAGAAAAATCGAAGCTTTGATCACAAACAAGAACCACACGGTGCTTACCAGATAGCAGCGCGTTGGCAGCGCCGTGACCTCCACCCTGGGCGGTTGCTCCATTACGACTAAACGATGGTAAGCGTAGCGATTACCACCATCGTCGTTCAGCTGCAACGCTTGAACCAACGGCTGGAAATCGTCCTAGTCAGTTGACGTGGCAATGACGTGGCGAGCGATGCCATTTTATGCTGACGCAGCCCTACATTGTTTCGTGGCAACCTTTTAAGTGGAGTCCGCCACCTTGTGTGGAGGGGGATTAGGAGGGATGTAGCGCAGATAGGTAGCGCATTTGTTTCGGGAACAAAAGGCCGCAGGTTCAAATCCTGTCATCCCTATCGACGTTCGTTAAAAGAAACACTAAGAAAGTATAAAAGCCGAGGAACGAAAGAGGCATGCTGTGGAGCATACATAGGGATGTAGCGCAGATAGGTAGCGCGTTTGTTTAGGGAACAAAAGGACGCAGGTTCAAATCCTGTCATCCCTATAGGCTCTTTTTTGTTCTGCCAGTGATCTTAGATACGTTTTCCATTTCTCTTTTTGGAGCTCGCGGCTATGGCTTGGGGAGGATTGCTTGGTTTCGATCATGGAATAATCCAGGCGCCATTGGGTCCAGACATCTCGGGGCCTGCTCTCGTAGCAGCGGTTGCAAATGCGGGGGCGATTGGAGTTCTTCGAGCTCCAGATCAGGTAAAAAACCTTTCTTTTTTTGCAAGGAAAAACGGGAATTTGACGACTCCAGGATGAGCCCGAGGTGCTGAGGGGGATGGTGAAGCGAACCAGGGAGCTGACGGATCGATCGTTTGGAGTGGGGATCATCCTGGATTTTCCACACGAGAAGATGCTCGAGGCTGTGATCCAGGAGCGTGTCGCTGTGCTGATGGTTTACTGGGGTGAATTTGGGAGTCATCTTGTCGACAAGATGCACCAAGCCGGAGTGAAAGTCGTGCATCAGGTTCGTGAGAAAAAAAAAAATGGCAGCTTTGTCGTGATTTTCTCGGGTTTTCGCACACGCAGGTAGGATCAGTGGCCGAGGCCAAAGACGCAGCGCTTGCTGGTGTGGATGCGATCATCGTCCAAGGTGTTGAAGCTGGCGGCCATGTCCGTGGAAAGGTGGTGATTTTCTCTTGAAACTTTCTTTCAAAGACTTACGTAGAGGTGAATTTTGGTCGTGAAGGAGGGACTCATAGCGCTGTTGCCCAAAGTTGTGGATGCCGTTTGGAAGTATAAGATTCCCGTGATTGCGGCTGGAGGGATCGTTGATGCTCGTGGCTATGTCGCTGCTTTGGCACTTGGTGCGAAGGGAGTTTGCCTTGGAACAAGGTAAAGTGTTTCGATTAGTTCTTGAGTTTTCATCCGCGAAAGCTTACATTTTTCTTGGAAAGATTTCTTGCTACCTTGGAGTCGAATGCGCATCCGATCTACAAGAAAATGGTGCTGGCCGCGTCCGCTGGCGATACCGAGCTCAACAACATTTTCGGAAGGAAACGGTGGCCAAATGCTCCACAGAGAGTGATCAAAACTCCATTTTTCCTGGAGTGGAGAGACAAGCTCGGCCCCGACGAGTCCGAGCAAGGGCAGGTGACGATCGGTGAAACAATCGTCCATGGCAAAGTACGATCGAGCTCACGCTTCGCCAAAGATCTTTCTAAGCCCCCCCCCCATTCTCTTGCAGAAGGAAGAGGTGAAGCGCTTCTCTGGAAAAGTTCCCAATTCCTCCGCGACTGGGAAGATCGAGGAGATGGCAATGTACGCGGGCGAGGGCGTGGGGTTGATCGATGAGATCTTGCCCGCCGCGAGCGTCGTCCGGGGACTGGTGGAAGGCGCCCAAAACATCATCCGCTACCATCTCCAAGTGCCCTGGGACGACAACGCCAACAAGCCCCACGCCTACATGGCATAGTCTCAAGCGGCCACGTCAGCGTTTACGTGTAAGGGCTTCCACGTCTGCCTGTATTAAAGGCTTTGGTGTTTTTTAAAAGGGGTGCCCTGCCCTAGCGGGGTCTTATGGAGTGCGTCTACATCCCCGTCCAGAATTCGCAAGAGGAGGTGCGCGTAGGGCTCGATCAGCTGCCGCGCGATCCAGCCGACATTGTCGACATCCTCAAGGCCGAGCAAGCGCCGCTCCATCTCTGGCTCACATTCGCGGTATGTGCTCTCGCTCGCGGGTCCAGGGCAACGTATGGCAAATGTGGGAGCGCTGATGAGTTTTTTTTCTTGCGCAGCGCGAGTATTTCAAACAGGACAAAGTCAAGGAGTTCCTGCAGATATTGGAAGAAGGCTCCAGTCCAGGTATGTGATGTTTTTGTAGGAGAAGCATTGGTAAATGGATCGAATAGTTTTTTTTTTCTTGTTCTTGTTCTCACTTTTTTCTTGTTCTTCTTTGTAGAGATCGATGAGTACTATAGCGATGTGAAGTACGATCGAATAGCCATTCTAAATGCGCTAGGTGCTTACTACACGAACCTTGGGAAGATAGAATTTAAGCAGCGCGATGAGCACTTTATTCGCGCTACACACTACTACAACAAAGCCACTAGAATCGACTATGACGAGCCCACGACATGGGCCGGAAAAGGTAGATGAGAAGAAAAAATCAAACGTTTCTTTCTGATGTCGTCGTAATGTTACTTCGTTCATTTCAGGTCAGCTGCTCCTTGCAAAGGGGGACTACGAGCAGATGTTTGATGTTTTTAAGATCGTGCTGGATGTGCGGCCTGATAACCTCCTAGCGTTGCTTGGCCAAGTAAGCTCTTGATGTCCTTGTGTTCCTCGAGCTTGAAAGTAAGCTGGCAGGCGTGTGCGCAATTTAACCGTGGACGTTTCCAAGAATCGCTGGGACTGTATAAGGTGCAATCTCTTTCATTTTGATCGTATTCTGAAAGTAACTTCTTTATCTCTTTCTCGCAGAGAGTATTACAGATGCATCCGGGTTGTCCCGCATCTGTCAGGCTTGGCCTCGGTTTTTGCCGTTACCGCTTGGGACAGCTGAGCAAGGCACGCCAGGCTTTCCAAAGGGTTCTTCAGGTATTTTTCGTCATTTTCGGTTGCGGGTGTCCTAACTTCGTTTGTTCTAGCTGGACCCTGAGAATTTAGATGCCCTTGTCGCGCTGGGAATTATGGATATCAACGCTAACGATGGTACTTTTGAGGTTCTTGATTTTCCGTTTCTGGTCGACTAAAAACACATTACAGCGGAGTCTGTTCAGGAAGGCACAAAGAAAATGCTCGAGGCTTTTGAGATATATCCGTATTGCGCAACGGCTCTCAATCACCTTGCAAATCATTATTTTTATACGGAGCAACACGGTGTTGTTGAGCAGCTGATGGAAACCGCTTTGGCGTCAACTGACAATGCGCTCATAAAATCGCAGTCCTATTTTAATTTGGCTCGATCGTATCATAGTAAGGTGAGTGTCTCGCCTGTGCGTGTCTCGCCTTGTTTCTGACATTATCTTAGGGAGATTACGACAAAGCTGCCGCCTACTACAGGGCCTCCGTGCAGGAGCTGAAGTCTCCAAAGGATTTTATACTTCCTTATTATGGTTAGTTCATTGACAGTTCGTGTTTCGGCACTGAGTACAATAATTTTCTGAACTCAACAAGGCTTGGGGCAGGTCCAACTCAAACTAAATGACTTGAAGTCAGCCTTGTCAAATTTTGAAAAGGTTTTGGACGTTCATCCTGAGAACTGTGAAACTTTGAAGGTACGATGTTGTTTTCTCCTCTGGTCCTCTAATGGATTGCTCTGTAGGTCGTCGGGTACATACACTTGCAGCAAGGTAGAAACGATAAGGCATTAGAAAGCTTCAGAAAAGCTGCCAAAGTGAGCCCTCGGGATGTTGATGTGAGTTGAAAGTATGTTTTATCTCTGTAGTTGATGAGTCTTGTAAAACGCAGGCATGGATTGAAATAGGGGAGCTCCTTGTATCTACAGATTTTTCTGCAGCTTTGGATGCGTTTAAGACGGTGAGGTTTCATTCTCGTACCTTTATTTTAGTAACGCTCCTCTCCGGGTCTAGGCACACAATCTGCAAACCAAGAGTGGGGAGAAAGTTCCGCTTGGCCTTTTGAACAACATCGGCGTGCTTCATTTTGAGCGTGGTGAATACAAGGTTTGTGTGTTTACGTGCTTTCTTGGTGCTGATTTGTTTTCATGCAGCTCGCAGAAGGAGCTTATTATGAAGCATTAGGTGAAGGTCCATGGAAAGAATTCAATGAAAATAATTTTTCTACCATTACCGGAGGAGACGGGCCTTTGGAAAAATTTGATGTATTTCAACGAATTGAAGAGCAAGGAACCTCGCTAGACATACCAGCTGAAAAAGTAACTGTTCTCTTCAACTTGGCACGCTTATTTGAGCAGTTGCACGAGACGGAAAAAGCAAATTTATTGTACCAGCTTATTCTTTTCAAGGTAAAGTGGTCAAGACTTATCAATTATCTTACTGACTTCCTCCTCTTTTAAGCATCCGAGTTACGTGGATGCTTACTTGCGTCTTGCAGCCATGGCTGAAGCAAGAAATAACTTGAGTCTCAGCATGGAATTGGTAAGCGTGCGGTTTTCCTTTTTTATTTTCACCATATAGTTGTTCTATAACAGGTACAGAAAGGGCTTAAAGAAGACGACAATGATGTGGACATTCTGTCTTTTCGAGGAAGCCTTGAGCTGAAAGCAGACGAATGGCTCAAAGCTAAGGATACTCTGAAGGGAATACAGAGTGTCTCAGACGGGAAAGATAGTTTTTCGAACCTGGCGCTGGTAATTTTAACGTTGTGCTAGATGCACGTTGATATTAACGTATTCAATACAGGGAAACTGGAATTATTTCGCAGCAACTCGTAGTGAAAAGCGGGATCCTAAGTTGGAAGCCACACACCTAGAAAAAGCTAGAGAATTGTATCAAAAGGCAAGTAGAATATTGGACTGAGTGCGGGTACTCTGACCACGGTGCATCTGCAGGTTTTGACGCAAAAGTCCAACAACATGTACGCAGCAAACGGACTAGGAATAGTTTTCTCCGAGAAAGGAATGTTCGACATTGCCAAGGATATCTTCACTCAGGTGCATATTGATTCGTACTCATTAGTTTCTGAGGCTCCAAACCCAGGTGCAAGAAGCAGCTTCTGGTAACGTTGCTGTGGAGATGCCTGATGTCTGGGTAAATCTGGCTCATGTATATCTTGCTCAGGGTCATTTCGGCTTGGCAGTAAAAATGGTTGTACTTCTCAAATTACTATTGCCAGCATTTCTGATTTTATTTTTATCCGTTACAGTATCAGAATTGTCTACGAAGGTTCTACTTTAACACCGAAACGAACATCTTGCTTTATCTGGCGCGCACGCATTATGAAGCGGAGCAATGGCAAGAATGCAAACGCGTACTTATGCATGCTATTCATATGGCACCGTCGAATTACATGCTCCGGTTCGATGCTGCAATCACTATGCAAAAGTTCTCTACTGCAACACTTCAAAAACAGAAACGCACTGCCGATGAGGTATGTTTGCTTCTTCTTTTTTTTTTCTTTTCACGCATGGCTGAGTTTTATTTGTACCTCTAGGTTCGTCAATCCGTAGCAGAAGTGAAAAATGCAGTTCGTCTCTTCACCCAGCTATCACTGATAAGTTCTCATCACATGCACGGATTCGATGAGAAGAAGATTGGAATGCATGTCGACTACTGCAAGCATCTGCTAGATGCTGCAAAGCTCCATCTTGAGGCTGCTGAGCGGGAAGAGCAACAAAACCGGCAAAAGCAAGAAGTGGCTCGGCAGCTTGCAATGGCTCAAGAAGCTCAAAGGAAAGCCGATGAAGAGCGAAAACTCCAGGTTGGCGGCTTCGAGTTGCTTCTCCGAATTCTCTCTTATGGTTTGAATGGTTCCAGATTGAGAAACGAAAGCGAGAAGAAGAGCATCGCAGAGTCATGGAACAAGAGCTACACTTCCAGCGCGTGAAGGTGAGCAAGCACTTCCGCGCTTTCGAAACTAAATGCAGTGCTTTCCAGGAAACGTGGAAGTACAACCTCGATGACGAAGGCAACGAGAGGAAATCGCGAAGGAAGGAGAAGAAGAAGAGGAAGAAGAAGCAGCGGAACGAGCAGGCCGAGGAGGAGGAAGTGGAGGCCGAGGAAGGCACGCAACCAGAGCCCGAGGAGGAGGAGGCGGAAGCGGAAGCTCCGGTAGCGTCGGAGGAAGAGGAGGAAGAACCGGTAAGTAGCTCCCGTTTTATTCCTCCAGGATCTTCTCTCATTGCTCTTGCTCCAGGTGAAGAAGAGTGGCAAATCTCGTCTCAAGCGCGCTCGCTCGGAAGAATCCGACGACGAAGCGACGGACCGCCCGTCTCAACCCATCGAAGAGCCGGAGAGTGACAACGAAAGCGATCGAGGAGCCAAGCGCAAGAAAACCGCCATCTCGGACTCGGAGAGCGAGTAGAACAGAACACATCCTCTTTTCAGGGAAAATTCTCCGGGCATGGAATATGCCCTGTACAATGTACGAATATGCTCTGAATATGGAAAGAAAATTGTAGTTAGCCCTAACAAGGGTTTGGGCGGAGCGAGCGTCCATGGCGCGGGACGGTAAGCGCCATCGCAGCAGTAGCCCGGATCGCGGCGGCGGCGGCGGCGACAGGGACGAGGATTCTAAGCATCGTAAGTACTCCCATCACCACAGCCGCGATAGAGATCGCGATAGAGATAGAGACAGAGATAGCCGAGATAGGGGTCGAGACCGGGAGAGAAGCAGCAGGGAGAGGAGCCGCAGCCCGGACAGGAGGGGGAGGAGCAGGCATTCTTCACGCAGCCCATCCCGTGACAATGAGCCCGGCAGGCACAATTCTTCCAGTAGAGCATTTGGAAAGTGGAAGCAAAGGAGTCCCAATCCTGGTGAGAAGTGGGAGAGACGCGATGAGCAGCAGCAGCAGCAGCAGGAAGAGCTTGTGCCGAATAGCAAAGAGCGCGAGCAGCTGGACAAGCAATCGATGAAAGCTCTGGCAGCGATCCAGGACGGGAGTAAGAAAGCCAAGAGAGTGATTGTCAAGCAGCGCGGCAAGTTCGACTGGGAGAACACCGAGGACACGTCCCAGGACATGATTCCTATATGCCACGGCCAGCTTCTCTTTGGACGGGGTTTCTATGCCGGCATGGATCGACGAGAGCAAAAGAAGCAGTCGGCAAAGATCGACCGGGAATCCAAAGGACAGATCGAACCCAAGTCACTGAAATCGAGCTATGATCCTTTCGACGACATGCCGGTGGACAGGCACTGGTCCGAGAAGGAGATACACGAGATGACGTCGAGAGACTGGAGGATCTTTCGAGAGGACTATAACATTTCCTACAAGGGGTCGAGGTTCCCGAATCCTGCTAGGAACTGGGAGGAGTCTGGGATTTGCCCCGAGATACTCAGGGCCGTGCAAGAAGCCGGATACAAGAAGCCTACTCCCATCCAGATGGCTTCCATTCCACTGGGACTCCAGCAGAGAGATGTTATTGGGATCGCCGGGACTGGCTCCGGGAAGACGGCGGCCTTCGTGATACCGATGCTCATGTACGTGTCCAGGCTTCCCAAGATGACTTTGGAGAGAGCCATCGAGGGGCCTTACGCGCTGGTGATGGCTCCAACCACGGAGCTCGCGCAGCAGATCCAGGAGGAGACCGTGAAGTTGGCGAAGTATATGGACATCAACGTGCTGTCGCTCGTCGCCGGAGAAGCCATCGGGGGGCAGAGCTCGAAGCTACTGCAAGGGTGTGAGATCGTCATCGCCACTCCGGGACGGCTCTTGCACTGCCTGGAGCAGGGATACGCGGTGCTCCACCAGTGCAACTACGTGGTTCTGGACGAGGGCGACAGGATGATCGCGCTGGGTTTCGAGGAACAGGTGATTGACGCCTTGGAAGCGATGCCGTCGAGCAACATGAAGCCCGAGAGCGAGGACGTGGAGCTGGAGGACAGGATCTACCGGACGACGTACATGTTCAGCGCGACGATGCCGCCGGCGGTGGAGAGGCTGGCCAAGAAGTACCTGAGGAACCCGGTGGTGGTGACGATCGAGGAGATGAGCAAGCGCATCAGCCAGAAGGTGATGATGGTGGACGAGGAGGAGAAGCCCAAGCGGCTGCGGCGGCTGCTGGACGAGCTGGGCGAGATGTCGACGATCGTGTTCGTCAACACCAAGAAGCAGGCGGACAAGGTGTCGAAGCAGCTCCACGACATGGGGATCAAGGTGGCGACCATCCACGGCGGCAAGACGCAGCAGAAGCGGCAGACCAACTTCCAGGACTTTCGGAGCAAGCGGCGGAGCTGCCTCATCGCGACGGACGTGGTGGGGCGCGGGATCGACGTCCCGGACGTCGGGCACATCGTCAACTACGACATGCCGTCCACGGTGGAGATGTATATCCATCGCATTGGGCGGACGGGGCGGGCGGGCAAGAGCGGCGCCGCCACCACCTTCCTGACGCTCAATGACTCCGAGGTGTTCTACGATCTCAAGCAGCTGTTAGTCCGGACCAAGAACCCGGTGCCGCCGGAGCTGGCCAGGCACGAAGCTGCCAAAGTCAAGGTTGCGAAAGCCGCCACAACTTCTGGAGCCGAGTGAGAGAAGAGAGCTCGAGCTCGTCGTGTGAGAGGTAACTTATCCTACGCATAATGTGATTGATTGATTGATTTGCTTGAGATCTTTGTGTCACTCACTGGGTTTGGGTTTTCAGGGAAGCTGATGTATCTGTCAAAGTTGCAGACTTTCTGGGTGATTTGCTGGATGCCTTGCTCCACCTCCACCTCAAACCTGGCCTTGCTTGTGCTTGTTTCATACTCTTCCTTCTTGGCCAGCCACCAGTTTCGTGCGTTGATGAGATCCACTTCCTCCTGCTTTAGCGTCGCTTCCTGCATTACCAGGGACTCCTCCTTTTCCTTGAGTTTTATATTCGTGGCCTTGCAGCGCTGGACTTCCGCGAAGAGATCGCTCACTTCCAGTTGCGGGAACTCGTCGTCCGGGTCGTAAATCTCCTCGTACTCGGACTCCAAGGGCTTGACGTACTGCGACGATATGTAATCGATGTGCTTCATCGCCTCGATTATGCGCCGCAAGAACTTGCAGCGATAGAAGTTCGCCTTGCGCGTTGACAATCGCAAATCCCTTCTCACGCGAGCAACCTCCTCGTCCATTTGTCCGCGAAAGGAAACAATGTCCGCCAACTTCTCATTGATAGCGTCAACGTCCACAACCAACATGTCCTTATTTTTAGGGCTAGAGCTCAACCCAACCTTTTACTTTTAAAGTCCGCCACCTTTTCAACCTTTTATAGCCTTTTCATAGTCCGCCACCTTTTTTCAACCTTTTCAACGGGACAAAAGGGGACTTTTAAAAGGATGATAGACCGGCAAAACGACGCAATTGCTCATACGACACCCAGAAAACAAATTGCCAGGGACCGAGACGAGCCCAAGTCGGAGAGAATCCCTGCCAGGGCCGTGACGCCCTCGGATGTCACGGTCTTGGCCAGGCAATCCAGCGAATTCCTGTAGCTCTGGCCGGCCTGGTTCATCATCCTCGTCTTGACAACGTCGGCCGGGCAGCTGAGCAGCGTGGCCGAGAGCCCCGAGAGCAGCGATGCCAGAGTGTGCGCGAAAACGTTGTCCCCACAGACGCCATTTTGTATGATTTTGTGCTTGGCCTGGTCGTAGCAAGCGAGCTCGCCCATGTTGACGAGAAAGGCGCGCTGTGCGTTGGGGCCTACTCCCCTCCACAGCCCAAGCACGCCTTCGCTCGCGATTATTTTGTGGAAAGCGTCGGCGACGCTTGTGTACCTGGGAGCGTGGCCGAGCTTCACAAGTCGCCCGTCGGCTTGCATCCGCACTTTTATAAGGTCGGCGGGGCTCGCCACCACCTGCATGCATCGAAAACGAAGAAAGCTCGTTAGTTTACTCCAAAGGCACTGCAGAGAGGTGCTTCTAGAAGGAAGAAAGATCATAGCTGAGCCTGAGCGTCTATAGTGAAAGAGAGAGCGAGCTTCGCTAAAGAATATGAAAGAAACTCTATAGACAAAAGCGCGGAAGAGGTGACTGAATGCTTCGTTCTCGAGAGCTACTGGAGGTATCAAAAACTTGTATCGGGAAAAGTAAGCGAGAATGCTAAAGAAACGAGGAATACCTGTCCAATGATTCCCGAAGCACCACCTATGACGGCTTTCTCGGCCAGGGAAGAAAAAGCTTGATTTTGATCCGAGGAAGAAGAGAAGCTTCGCAGTTGCTCGTAACTCACGATCCGGATGCTGGTGTAAAAGACGTGCCTCAGCAACGCGGGCGACAATCCCCTGTAGAGCCCGCGCAATCCCTCCTCCCTCGCGATCCCGTAAGCAGTGCCAAATGCCCCTCTGTGACCAGCATTACAACCACGAGCGATCGACGATCCCTCACCTTGGAGCTGGAGGCGCGTCTTGGTGATGTCGATCGGAAACGTCGCGGATTCCGCCGCGATCGCGGACGCCGCGGTGAGCGCCAGCCGCATTCCAAAATCGCGATCCATGCCCAAAAACCCTAACCCCCAAGAACATGGGGAGAATATCCGCGCATCTGCGCCTGCCAGCCGTTGGATGCCGACGAGGGTGTAACGGCTGCGATGGGGCCCATTAAGCCGCTAATTACGCATGGTTACGCGTAATCTCGTTTAAAGTGGGGTTAGATCTTCCGGGATGGAATGTCCACCTAGGCCTCAAGAACTTTGCGGATAGAAAGAAGAAAGGTTCCATCCATTTTCTCTCTTTTTCCCACTCCTCCTGGGAGATGGGTGGAATCGAATCATCCCCGCAAATGTGGACCAATTCCTCGAGCTCGTAGCAAATCCTTTCCAATTGATCGAGAAAATCGAGAGAGCAGATGAGGCAAGAGCGAGGAGTGATCATAGCCAGGACGAGGAGGGCGATGGAGGACGAAGACGAAGGAGGAGGAGAGGAGGATTGCGAGGAGCAGCGGCAGCGACAGAATCAAGCGGCGCCAGCGCTCTTCCTGTGCCCGATCTCGCTGGAGATCATGCGCGACCCGGTGATCGTGTGCACGGGCCAGACGTATGATCGCCCCAGCATCGAGAAATGGATCCGCGATGGCCACCGGAGCTGCCCCATCACGATGCTCCACCTCCACGATCTCACGCTCATCCCCAACATCATCGTCCGGCAGCTCATCGAGGCGTGGTGCTCCAAGGAGGAATCCGCCAGCGCCATGTTTGCTCCTTCTCCTCCATCGCCTCCTCCTCCGCCCTTCCTCCTCGCCCACCACGATTTCTCGCCCCAGGAATCGCTGGATCTGGGCCGCCGCGAGCGAGTGCTCGGCCTCCTCCGCCGGATCGCCAAGGGCCAGGACGTGAGGCAATCGGTGGCGACGCTCAAATCCATGGCGAAAGAGGAGCTGTGTGGATCGTCGCCCACGCCGCCCGAGGCCAAGAAGGTGTGTTCTTGCATCGTGGAAGCCGGCGGCGCGCTGCTCATGGCGTCCATGCTGGCGGACGAGCTCATACAGCACGGGACCGCGCTGCACGGGTCCCCGGACGGGTTCATACAGCACGGTACCGCGCTGCACGGGGCACCGGACGGGTTTACCGCGCGGCACGAGGACAGCCCCTGCGAGGAGATCATGTCGCTGCTGGCGCTCCTGTGCCGCGGCGCGAGCCGGGAGGTGATCGGCGCGGTGCTGTCGGAATCGGGAGCGCTCCAGTGCGTCGTGTGTCACCTGGGCAGCGCCCAGATCGACCTCGCGTCGCGGATGAGCGCCGCGGTGCTACTCAAGCGGCTGCTGGCCACGGAGGAGATGCGCGTCGAGGTCGGGCAATCCACCCAATTCTTCCACGGCCTGCTCGATCTCATCGATTCCTCCTCCTCCAAGAAGGGCCTCGTCAAGCTCCTCCACCTCGCGTGCTCGCACAAGCCCAATCGATCCACAGCCGTGGAAGAAGGCGCGATCCAGATCCTCGTCAACCTCCTCCTCGCCGCCTCCTCGCCCCCATCCTCCTCGTCCTCCTCCGGCGAGGACCGCGGGCTGGAGACAACCGAGCGCGCGCTGGCGACACTGGAGCAGCTGTGTACCGTGGAGCAGGGGCGCCGCGCGGTATGCGAGAGTACCGCGGCGGTGCACTGCGCGGTACGGCTGCTGGTCGGGTACTCGAGGCCGGCGACCGAGCACGCGACGGGGCTGTTGCTGCTGGTTTGCCAGTCGGGCCCCGTCCAAGTGGTCCAGATCGCCATGAGAGCTGGGGCGCGCCGCCAGCTTCTACTGCTACTCCAGAGCGATTGCACGGGACGGGCAAAGAAGAGGGCGCTGGAGCTCCTCAAGCTCTTCCACGCCATCTTCTTCGTCCAGGGCGACGAGCACGCCTCCTCGGATTTCAAGAATGTGGATCTCTACTGATGCTCGCTCTCTAACTCGAGGCAAAGATCTTATAGATCCGTGTGGGGTTCTTCTTCCTCCTCTCGACTCTTTCCATCTCTTGGTTTTATGGGAGGGAGGCCTCTCTCTCTCTCTCTCTCTCTCTCTCTCTCTCTTTTCCTCCTCGAGAATGCGATCGAGGAGGGATAGTGGAGGAGGGATTTGTTTTGGGTTTCCCAGGAGGTGTGAGATCTGCATTGAATTGCCCACCAAAGATCAGCAGCGGCGCAGCTCTGGAAGAAGAACTGAAAACGAGGCGCTCCGCGCGCCAGATCTTCCTTTCTTTATTTCCTTCTTTTCTCTTTTCCATCTCGCTTCTTCTCACCCGCCGTCGCGCAAAGGAATCCTGATCTGGATTGATCGATCGATCTTCGTTTCTTGTAAAATTCGAGCGCTGGGAAAGAACGATTGATTCCAAGTCCTTTGTGTGCCTCGGTGGTGGAAAAGGTGAGGTTGAAAGAGAGAACTTCTCTGGCAGACAAGTTTCTATCCGAGGAGGAAGGCTCTTTTCTTTTCGTCTTTATCTTTTTGCTCGCTAAAATATGGAAGCGAAGATCCTCGCAGGCCAGCTTAGCGGCCATTGGCAGGCAGGAGAGATCGCAAGATCACGAAAAATGAGTAGACCGCGCCGTTCCACATACCAACGCTGCCATTCTTCCGGCTTGCTCGCTTTCACTGTTTGGAATCATTGTGAGCACGAAAACTCTCTGGAGGCTGGATTTTGTTAGAGTCAATCCACGATCCACGGGCTTTCTGATTCAGCGGCTCTACTGCTTAATCTGGAAGATGAGAACGACAAGCAAACAAGAGACAAAGAAAAAGATGTTTTACCTTGTTCTGGTCGAGTCATAGGCTCTGTAGCTATCTCCTCCATTTTGCCTCCTGGAAAGTTGAAAGTGGAGAATTACGATGCGAGAATGCCAAACAGCGAAAAAATGTCATTATTGGTTACCAGTAGCTTTGCTCCCTTGCATTGCTTGTCCTCGAGCTAGCGAGCTAGCTTTGACTTGAATCCGACAAGAGCAAAGAACAAAACAAAAATATGAGAAACGAGACTAGAGGACGCAATACCCAGGACAGACTAAACGTGCGAGCGATCGAGCGAGTTTCATCGCTTTGGAGAAACACCAAACCTGGAAGAGAGAAGAATCACAAGTTAGCTAGCTCTAATTGACAAAGATGATCCGGAAGGAAAAACAACTATAGATTACTTACAAGATAAAAGGCTGGACTGGATGGAAGATATGGACCAGTTTGCTTGCCAGAGGCCACAGGCCGCCAATAATGCCTGTATGGACGCACACACACAAACACACACACTGCCACAAGCGAAAAGCTTGTGAGCTCGCATCACTTTCGTCTCAACGACCCATTTATTCCTGGCAAAGCTATCTTGCTAAGGAAGAGCGCGCTTACGGGGTCGAGGACTACGGCTGCAGGATAACTTGTAGGCCATTAGAGCAGACGTCCTGGGGCTCGTCCGGGAAAGAAAACGTTTTTAAAACCCGAGAAAACTTGGCGTACCTCGATAGCTTTACATTTTCGAAGGTCGGGGGTACCAACCCCACTGCTCCTCTGATATGTATTTGGTAACTTGCTTCACGGACAAATAGTTCTCGAGACCCCTGTGAGTGGAAGACAAACAATGAAAACGATGTACGTGATGAGAATCCCTACAAATATCACTCACCATTCTCCCAGCTCCCGTCCAAAGCCACTGCGTTTTGTACCACCCCACGGGGCCTGGGTGAAGGTCGGCTGAGCACAATTGATCCATATGATTCCCGCTTGCAACAGCTGTTTTGGCCAGGCTTAGAAACAAGCAAAAAACAACAAGAGATAAGTTTTTTCTAAAAAAGTACCTCTGCTACACGCTGGCAGCGGTCCTCGTCTGTCGAGATGACGGCCCCTGCGAGTCCATACCTTCAAGCAAACAGACAGATTGAGCAAGTTCTCACAACCATGTGGCTTACTCAGAATCGTTGGCCAGCTTTATAGCTTCCTCTTCTGTTCTGAAGGTCCGAACTGCAAGGACCGGACCAAAGACTTCTTCTTTCCATATCTGAGAGGAGGGCCTGACGTTCGCAAAGACTGTCGGCTCAACAAAATATCCTTTGCTCAAGTGCTGGAACGCGAAGACACGACAATGAATATCAACGGCTTGCTTTACACAAAACTGATGAAGCTTACCTCCGGGCGTTTCCCACCACACAGCAGCGTAGCACCTTCTTCTTGTGCCGTAGATATGTACTTCATGACCTTCTTGTACTGGAACTCACATGTACACCGTATGAACTAAAGAAGGCAAAGATAGGAACAAGAAGAAAACACTACCTGACCATCGCTCACAACTGGACCAAGTCTGCATCCCGGCTCCAAGGGGTTTGAAATTTTTATCGTTTTCGTCCATTCTGCCAGTCTTTCCAAAAACACAGATGCGATATTTTCCTGTTACATCACAGCCAGTGGTAAGGCAATTCTCCCATCAGCCGAGCATTATATTACCTGGAGCAACAACCTTGATGTCGCACTGCAAATCTGACCATTAGTCCAAAACACTCCGAACATTGTCCATTCAACAGCTGTGTGATTCCACCCGTCAGGATTAGATGTCGTTGAATGTTCAATAACGTACCTTTCTCAATATCCACATCATCGAAAACGATGATAGCACTTTTCCCACCCAATTCCAGCGTCACGGGCTGTTGATAGACACAAAGCTAACCGAATTGTATGAAAAGATCGAAGCACCTTGATTATTTCAGCAGCTGCTCCCATTATTGATTTCCCAGTGGCTGTACTGCCTGTGAATGCAACCTGTAACAGAAAGAAAAGGAAAAGTAAGGCATGAAACATCAGCATACTAAAGCCAACCTTATCAACACCAGGATGCTTAGACAGAGGCGCACCGGCATCTTTCCCTAATCCAGTAACTACATTCAGTACACCAGCAGGAAGCCCGACCTTCGCGGCGATTGACGCAAGTTCCAAGCAGGTACTGGCACGACAAACAGTAGAACTCGTTGTGCAAGGGAAGTAGGAAAATTTTCACGATCTTACACTGATGCAAGCTCTGATGGTTTAAGAATGGCAGTACAGCCTGCTGCAAGAGCTGGTGCAACCTTCCAAGTTGCCATAAGTAAAGGATAATTCCTGCAGAACCATCTTGTCAAGGATTGCATAAGAAAAAAAAAAAAAAGGTGCGAGATCTACCATGGAGTTATAAGACCGACAACACCAATCGGTTCTTTTAAGACGTTAGTCTTGAATGTATCCATTGGAAGCTCTACGGACAGGTGCCCCTTTGCATCCAAACCTTCGGCCAGACCAGCATAGTAGTCGAAACATCCCGCAACATCGTCCTAGAAAAAGCTTGGATAAATTCCAAAGCATAAACTCGAAAAGCCGAAAGTCTTACCATATCCCATGCCGCTTCGTCGAGGGGTTTTCCACAATCCATCGCCTCGAGCTCAGCCAACTGAGATTTCCTCGCAGTCACCTAGAACAGCACAAAAAAAATTTAGCGCAAGAGAGGCGAAAGCCATCATATCATCACTTACTTCGGCAGCAATGGCTCGCAAAAACTTTGCCCGGTACTTCCCCGTAGTTCTTGCCCAATATTTCCCATTGTCTTTGGTAAACGCCTCCCTAGCGGCCTTGACAGCGAGATCCACATCGTCGGCCGTGGCAGCGGGAATGTAGCCTAGAAATTCCATCCATGAGCGCAAGTGAGAAACTCGCAATTCTCACCTATGGTATCTTCCGTCGCTGGATTGATGACCGCTATCTGTCCGCCCAGATCCGGAGCTCGCCATTGCCCTCCAATGTAGAGAAGCCTGGAAGGGATCGCCGGCGCCATACCTCCTAAGGAAAAAATGCTAGCTAGCTAGGGCTTATCGTGCCACTTGGCATTTTTTATTCAACGTCACGAGTGGGATTTGAACTCACACCCTTACAAACTTAAAGAATTTGTCTTAACCCTAAATCATATATCCACTATGTCAGGGATGAAGCTGGTGTGGCTGGAGCGGGAGGAGTGATGGGCATGGCGGACTGTGTGGTTTGTTTTGATGGCCCCGGGCGATTGTAGACATCTGCCGTGTGTGATGGCGTATACATGGTGCCTAGGCGGGCTTACGAGGAGGCATCTTTGAGAGAAAAAGGCGGAGGAGGATCTGCGGGAGTCGCACGCTGTGGCAATTGCTTGTGTTGGCGGACACTTTATGGGTTCTTGCCTCGGCTCTATGTTCGTCACTGACAACGAGCTCTTCAAGCTTGTTGCTCTCCTCTACTTTGTCTTGCCGTCTCCAGCATGCCAGTCGCTTCAAGGATTGTGCCCGTTGTCTGGACAAGCTTCGTGCTTTCTCTGAGTTTGGCACCTCCCTCGAGGTGAAATTGGCAGAGTGCGACCCGGAGCAGCGCCTAGCTCATTGTCTGGACAAACTCCGGGGTGGGTCAACTTCTTGTCTTGTCATCCGATTCCTCTCTGCTTTCTCGTTGCAGGTGACTGCCGCCCTGTTCTGGACAGCATCTTGCACACGGATTTCGTCTTCCCGATGCCTCCTCGCCATGTGGTAAGCTTGTAAAGTCACTTGCATTTATTAGTGTCATTGTGCCACCTTTGACCCATAGGGCCCTGCAACCAGCTTGTTGCTGCAGCACCTTCCAAAGCGTATCAAGGTGCTCGCCACAAGCAGCAGCTATGCGGAGCGCGTCATACAGGCTCCATACTCAAGGGAGTACATTTGGGGCAGGGATGTGGGAGGGACTGTTGTATTACCGTATCCCAATGACGCCGAAAAATGGTCCAGCTATGGTTTTCTCACCAGTGGGCCAAGCCGTGGAACTCCTCCTCAAGGCTGCCAAAAAGAACCAGCTTTTGGAGGCCCTGGTTGGAGACGCCTCTAAACTCCGTGCTCATTTCCAACATCATGGGAATCCTCGACTGCACCGAGCATGCCCGGCTATGGTTGGCGAAGTCTAAGCTCCCAGTCTCCCAGTCTACTACAACTTCCCGCATCTGACATGTCACTCATAGGTACTCACGCTCAGTGCAATCGGTCCCTTAAACCCTAAACCCTAAACTGGCATTAGAGTCTCCCCTGGGTTTTGCAGTGGAGAAGTTTCTGAGGCGTTTGGCTATCGAAGCAAACGTGTAAGTCGTCACACATATCACACAAACGTGTGTGTTGTGCGTGCGTTGGTTGATGACGAGGATGCCTCTGGCTCGTTTGCCGTGCTGCCGGAGGGCTTCAACTCAGGCTAGATTATTCTTGGCCATCTCCAGATAGCGAGGGGTTTGGGAAGACAAGGCCTGGCTTCGTCAGGTGGCTCACACAGTCACCCTGTTAGCAAAGTGTGAGCGCTCAGGTATATTCTACCCAAGCATGTATTGCCGAAGGAACACGTCTCTGACTTTGAGGCACGCCCAAAATAGACTGGCCTAATTGTTAGTATCATCAGTCAGTATTTACTTTGATGATAGGCATAATATAAAAAATGTGTCCCTGACAAACTCGACACTTATCTTCCAAGACATGCATGCGAGATCAACACATAGGGAGAAGAATCTCTCCACGCCATTGGTTCCAAAACACTCTGTGATCCAGAGTCTAATGTCTGTAGATGCAGTTTACATGACCCAGCAAAGCTTGTCCATGTCGCATCGTCGGGCACAAATGGCATACACTGGATAAGTTCGTGGGCATCTCCCACTCGTCCCAAACGCCCAAGCATGTCCGCCACGCAGCAGTAGTGTTGAGCAGTCGCTCTGATGCCCCGCTCCACCATAGCCACAAAGCTCTGGAATCCCCTTTGTAGATCACCCGCATGGTTGCAAGCAACGAGCACTCCCAGAAAGGCGATTGCATCCGGCATCACACCCTGAAGCTCCATTGCCAACGAAAGCTCGAGAGCTTGAGTATGATGCCCGTTTTGGGCGTATGTTGTGATCATCGCAGACCATGGGGCAGTGGATTCAATAGGTCCACGCTCGAACATATCTCTTGCTTCTGCGATATGCCCGTTGTGGGCATATGCGACAGCCATGGACGTCAAGGAGATTTCACTCCACTGTGGCATTTTGTCAAAAACATCCTTTGCTTTGCTCAGTTGCCCGTTTTGGGCATACCCAGACACCAACGCTGTCCAAGATACCACGTCCACTTCTGCGGTCATTTTCTCGAGCATGGTTCTAGCTTCCTCGACATGCCCGTTCTGGGCATAAGCCTGGATGATCACATTCCAAGCCACGGAGTCTTTCCTCTCCAGCGATAGAAACAGCCTTGTTGCTCGCTCCAAATCCCCGCATTGGGCATATACTTGCATCATCACTGTCCTAGAAAACGCGTCCGGATTTGGTATCTCCTTGAAAAATGCCTCACAAGCTTTTAGATCTCCGCTGGCTGCGTAGGCTGTGAGAATCGCTGTCCATGTCTGGTCATTGCGGTCGTGCATCCGGTCAAACACGTGTTGAGCAGCTCTGAGAAATCCATGCTGGCCGTAAATCTGGATCACTGAGCTGCAAATTACAACGTCGTGCCCCGACATTCTCTCAAATACCATCTTTGCTTGCTCGATCTCGCCGCTCTTGGCCAGTGCCGTGAGCAGCGTTGTCCATGACACGATTGTCTTCTGCGACATTGTCTCAAAAACACTCTTTGCAAGACTTAGAGACCCATTCTCAGTGTAAGCCAGCATCACAGTGTTGAAAGAAACGACCGTGTAAGACGGCATCCGGTCGAAAAATTCAACAAAGTCACCTGTTTGGGCATATGCCGAAAGCATTGTGTTCCACGAGAGCTCATTCCGTTTGGCCATTTTCTCAAACAATTCCCTTACTATTTTCGTATCACCATTTTCGGCATAAGCTTGCATGAGCCCGTTCCACGAGCTCTCGTTGCGAACAGGCATCCTGTCAAACATTTCCTTGGCAGATTCCAAATGCCCGTTTTGGGCATAAGCTGAAGTTATCGCGTTCCAAGCAACAACACTTTGATCCGCCATGGCATCAAAGAGCTCTTGCGATTTTCTTAGACAACCTCTCTGAGCGTAGCATGTAAGCAGTATTGTGTGTGCTACCTCATCCCTGGCTGGCATTATATCAAACATTTGTTGGGCTTGGTTGATAAGCCCGTTCTGGGTATATGCTCCCAGCATGAGACACCACGAATAGACATTTCGCTGAAGAGTGCTGTTAAAACAATCGTACGCTTCAGTAACACTACCGCACTTCCCAAACATTTGTACAAGTAAATTTCTGAGGTAAGTGCCTAGAATAATGTTTGTAGATAGGATTTCCTTGTGAAGCTTCCTTGCACCAGATAAATCTCTTGTATTTGAGCAATGCTTTAAGCGCCCAACCCAGTAGTCTGATGATTTACTTTGCCCCATGAAGTATAAATTAACGTGCTTGCTTACAGTTTGTCATTTTTACACTCGTCTCTGGTAACACACACACACACACACACACACACACACACCTGGGGCAAGGAAACTTGTGCTCACTCACTTATACATGAGGGAATGGTGGCTTCTCAGGTAACATGGTACGCGGCACTTCGCAAGGTTGAAGGAACACAATACAATGCGATGATAAACCGAGTCCAGCTGGTTGCTTCTCACACCACTGCCAGACGTGTTAAGTGAGTTTAGATTTGCCCAACCTCGTCAACGAGGTATCCCATGGGCGGCTGATGTGCATGTCATCCTTGAAGGCAATGTGTCACCTTTTGGGAATGAAGATCGCATAACAGGAGATTGTAAACTAAATGATGGAAACCATCTTAAACTCCACACCATGTCAAGGACGAGCAGTAGGGACTAAGGTGACGAGCTGTGGAGACTAGGATGATGGCCTAGATAATAACATCCATTTATAAATTGACATGCTTAACCAGTTTGATACTAAAATCAAAAGTTGGGCACTTACAACATAAGAATCACATAAAACAAACAAAAATTTAAAATTTGGAACAATCTAAACACTATGATTTTAAAAACTAAATGCTTGAATGTTTAAATAAGTATTTATAATAAAAAATAAAAACATTTTAATCCAATAAATATTTTAGTTTATTTTAATATTTAAAAATAAATTAATTAAATATTAGAAAAAAAATTAAAGTTCAAATTAATTTAATTTTCATTTCTTCCATTTATTAAATTTTAAATAGTATATATTAAATTCAGACTTTTGCAATTAAGAATATGAATTATTTTATGATTTTATTATATTTATGTCATTATTATGTTTTCTTTTGGTAATATTAATGGGAAACGCAATATCTACTATTATAAATGCTATTATAGAAATAATGAATGATACACTAAATAATCTAATTCCACTTGGTCAAAACATAGATAAAAATATATTAATTTCAAATATAAATGTTGATACTTATCATTATTTTTAGAAATTTATGCTGCAACTTAATGAAGGTCATGCAGATGTAAAATCTATTATAAGAAAATCAGTAGCTGAATTAAATATGAGGTTTTCTAATTTATTTATTAATCATTTTCTTAATCCTCATGATTTGGGGCAACAATTAGATACACTAAAATAAATGTTTAATCAATATTATTAAATGTAATATTTTAAAAGTTAGAAGGTACATTTATATTTAGATATTAATTGCATTGCAACTTATGTTATACACAATAGATAAAAATATATAACATCAAATAAAGGGTCTTTTTAGACTACAAGAAAATAGGGATTTAATCTTTTATTTTTGTGATGGAAGTGTTTAAATATATATTGTAATTATAAAACTATTATTGTGAGTGTATAGAATATAGAAAGAGAATGCAAAAATGTGCAGTTAGTTCAAAAACTTTAGTTTATATATAGGAGCAAGTGGTCTGAATTGAAACTAATCTAATAGTTACCAAAATCCCACTATATTAATATTAGTATTCAACATCACAGTTGTACACTTGAACTTCATATCATCCTTTTCTTTTCAGAATGATAGAAGACAGTCAGGGTTCTCTCATGGAAGGGTTGGGATCTGGAGGAACATTACAAGGTGGCATCGATGGATTTGTAGATGGTGCCAGCCTTTTTATGAAGCATTTAAGCTGTTGCATATGCATAATTTATGGAGGATCAACCTGTTCAATGTCATACCAAACTTTATAAACTTGTAGTCCAACTTGTTGTAATATTTAATATCCCTTCTATTAAGTCAAAAGCCCCTTAGACAAACCACATACCATAAGATTAGGAAAATATACTAATACTAAGTTATCCACTTTGTACTCTACAAGTAGATGATGATGGGAGTTTTAACACCATTATTGTCCCACTTGTATATGGTCTAGATGTTCTACAAACTCTACTCGGATAAGTGGAAAAATGCTCATCAAATACTGATCCCAAGACATAGCATCGACAACTTGTAGAAATCATGAAGGTGAACTCAACTCTATTAATAGTATTGCATCACGATTATATAATAGCCCCACTTGAGTATGTTGTGGCTCATTAGTCCTTGCCCTTCCTAGGGGTTTGGGCCTTCCCTTCGGGATGGAAGTTGGGGGGGGGGGGGGGTAGAAGTACCCATACCAGGCCATTAGGCCACGGTGTTTCACCCCAGTGTCCCGAAACAAGTGTTGCACCCAAGGTTTAGGATTTAGAGGGTCCCATGATCAAGTCTTGTTGTACTAAGGGATGTTAGGAACTTCGAGGCTTGGTGTGTTTAGCTACTTGTGCCTGTGGGGAGTGTAGTCGAATCTTAAGTCCAGTCTAATATGGGGAGGGGGATTGGGAGAGATTTGGGAATCCGTGGATGAATGGCTAATGCTCTGTTGCTCGTGTAGTGAGTAGTTGAAATCAAGTAGGACCAAGTAAGAGTTAGTATAGTAGGTAGGAACCTTGGCAAGGGAACTTAGCAAAAGCCAAAGCAATGGTAAGATATGTCCAACATGTTAGCAAGTTAGTGGGGGCTTGTTACAAAGCATCCCAATTCCAGATCATCCATGAAAATGTCTTATGATGGACTTCATCACGGGAATCCCCCCAAGTGAGGGGTTTGATGCGATATTCGTGGTGGTGGACCGATTTTCGAAGATGGCACATTTCATACCCACCACAACGGAAGTGGATGCGAAAGATGTAGCAAAACTGTTCTTTGAACAAGTGGTTTGAGTGCGGGGAAGGCCAGAGGAGATCATCTTAGATCGAGATAATATCTTCACCAGTAGGTTCTGGAGAACTCTCCTGGAACAGTAGTTGAAATTCAACACAGCATATCACCCACAGACAGGTATTGGGTATTAAGTCAAATTAGATGGCATTAACACTTCTTGACAGATGGACAAACAGAAAGGGTGAATAGGCAACTAGAGGATTATTTGTGATGCTATGTCTCGGGAGAAGAAACCGATTGGGTAAGTCATTTGGAACTTGCAGAAATGTGCTATAACAACTCACCACACTCGAATATTGGGGTGAGTCCATGGGAAGTCATCAATGGGCGAACTATTGAAGGTCCTATGGAATTTGGCGTGGTCGAGTATCATGGAGAGTTACCTGCAGTGGAGGCATTCACAACAGAAAGACTTAACATTTGGAATCTAGTGAGGGATTCATTGGAATGGGCTTAACAAAGACAAACCAAGTACGTGAACCAGAAGCGCCGGGATGTAGAGTTCCAAGCTAGGGAGATAAATGAATTGATCTTGAGTTCCTTAAGCAGGTTTGCAGGGCCTTACAAGATTGAGGCATGAATCAGTAAAGTGGTTTATCACCTCTGACTTCTTCGAGAGATGGGTAAAATGCACTTAGTGTTCCACGTGAACTTACTCAAACCGTACTTTGAGGATCCGCTTTGCAAGGACCAAGTAAGACCTTTACTTGAGGTTATCTAAGGGGAAGAGGAATACAAAGTCGACGCCATCCTCAATGCGCGCAAGAGCAAGCAACAAGGACGTGAGGTGAGAGAGTTCCATGTGAAGTGGAAAGGATTTCCACACTACGAAGCAACATGGGAACCGAAGGAGAACTTAGCAAACGCACGAGATCTAGTGGAGGAATTTCTGCAAGGCAGAACTCTATGTACTTATGCAAAGTTCAATTAAAGTATCAAATTGCGAAGTTGAGCAATGGCATATGTTGTGACCCAAAAGCACGCCGAAGGTAAGTTAATTAGCATGGGTTAGCTAAGTCGACCAGGCATAAAGAACCCCCACAGGGATGTTGAATCTGTAGACGTATTCTACAGAGGTTGGGTTCGAATCCCAACCCCCTAGTAAAGCAAGGCTAAGTTGAAGTCCCGACCCTATACTAGGGCGTGGTGAGGTGAGGGGTATAGGGACACCTATACTCTGTTGTCATGGGCTCTTGGCCGAGGAGGCTAACTTAGGCACACCGCTAAGTGGGGGGATGCCCCCGGAGACATGGTCAACAAGTCGTATGATAAAAAGAGATGTTTGATGTGGGCATTGAACTTCTTCTATAGGTGGTGGAGTTGTAAGGAACTAACTCCCCGAGGTGTCGTTGTCGCGAATGTGACTTCGGGTATCGAAAGATACTTGTCAGCTAATACTTACGGACTCTCTCTCCTTACTGCCATGATGGCAGGAGGTCGGTACTGCTAGTTCCCTTTATGGTCTCCGCCCAAGCTAGTTGAGAAACTGGTCAGCACATGTGCACTTAGACCGGAAGGGCACTAAGGAAGGAAATCCTAAGTTGTCATTAAGTCAAGCATACTTGACACGGTGATGAGAAACTCATGATGTTGACTTGCACTTGCTAGTGTTAGGAACCCCCGCAATATTGAGACTAGTCCCTCAATATTTGCTAGATGATAGCTTACCATGTTTGCCAAACACCCTCGCTATCACGCCCTTTGTGTTAGTCTCGTTTCGGTCCCAAATGCTATTTATGTGTGGGGGGTTTCAAATGTATAGTAGAGATAGTGGTTGGAATGCATGTCCGACCACCTGAGACATTAGTTTGGCTCCCGCTGGGCTGTGTCGCTCCTTGTTCTGCGTCCGGCTTGGGTCTAAGCCCAAGCTCCACGCTGCTCTAGTCGGTGGAGTACCCTCCTCCTCGCGTTAGGCCACCGGTATGCCAAAATTGTGCCAGACTCCGTCTGACACCATTTTGCATGCAGGTGCTGGATACGGGGAGTTGGTGCTCGTGGGATTGTATCGGACCCTCATTTCGTAGTGCAACGGGCTTGGAGTTCGTCTCCAAATTCAGGTGCGCTACATTTGGTATCAGAGAGCAATTGTCTCAGCGATTTCTATCCAACTTTTGTCAGATTTTCTGACTCAAGTTGCATACGTAGAGACTTTTCTAGTAGATCCGAAGTGACTTGTGTAGAATTAGTTGGATTACACCATTCGGTAAGAACGTTTTATGCATGTTCAGTTATTGATAG